CTTGTTGTGCGCAAGTTTTAGTTTGCAATTTGGTGCCGAGATGGTGAAATGGGCTCGAGTCTGCTGGGTATTTAGGGCGCGCAGACAGACAGACACCAGACAGACAGCCATGGAGTAATTTTCGCGCCCCTGGGCATGAAAATTATTCTTTTTCTCGTGCGCACAGACTCCACCCACGATCCCTCTATTCAGCTTTTTTTTTGCAAAACAAAAAGCGTACCCCTATCGGGCCACACTTTTTCAAAAAAAAACTATTATTAAAACGAACAAACACTAGCAGGGTAGGCTTGATAGGAAAGGGGCACTTGTGCCCGCACGTGCAGAAATTATATGTTCCTCGAGCAACACATCAGCAAGATCTCGCCGCCTCGAAGACAACAACAACAACAACAACAACCCCCCCTGTCCTCCATTCCAATTTATCTGTTGAGACCCCGATATCAATGCCAGTACTGCTGTACACGGACCTGCATGTCCGTGCGCAACGTGTGGACGGGGCTGAGCACACCGTGGAGAGAAACAACGACTTCGAAAGGGGGAGACGCTGCAGTCATGCCTGATGCAGGGAAGTTAATCCTCTATCCGGTGAGTTTTTCTGAATTTGTGGAATCTGCCACCGACCAATGACGTGTACTCATGCAGCCCGCCGCATGCGGTGGAACTTCACCTGCAGCCGACGCAACGCAGCGCTTCCCTTCTCGATACAGTTTACCTTGCTACCGGCTTTCGTTGTGGCCAATACGTGCTTGTTATGCGACAGAATATCTTCACCAAGCGCCCGAGCCACGTTTCGAACGAAGCAGATGGCGAAGAACATTGCTATGCTCCGATCCTTCTCTCTTCTGGCTTTTCACGGTTACTTTTTTCCGACGAGTCTACACATCAGACGCAGATACACTCTGTTCAGCTGCGTATCGCACGATCCCACCTCTGACGAGAGAACCGTAACCCCTCTCGCTATTCAAAACACAGCACTAGAGCAGAAAAGGTATTAATTTATCACAAAAGTACGCAGTTAGGGTTGACAAAACAGCAGTCTATGTAGATGCTCGGCGGCGGCGAAAAACTTCTAACCCGGAACCTCAACGCAAAGACAAAGCTGATGGAGAGCGGGGTCGGTATAGCAGTCGGGGGGGGGGGGGGNATCCCTACAAAGCCGGGACGGAGCACGCCGGGTTCTCACCGGACCAGGCTCTCACCTCACCAAGCGCGAAGCGCCGTGAGATATTCGGCGAGTCGCATGAAGGGTGCGCTGCATCCTGCTAAGGGTGTTCGGCATCTTGTGCCTACTGCTGGCTCACCTCCCCATACATGGGGGTCCAACAAAAGATAATTAAATTATTTTGCGCGAAGCGCGAATTTTTTGGAGAATTTTAAGCATAAAAACACGCTGATTTGGTGCACGTATACAGTTGTTTTGGTGCCCGTACAACACAGTTGTTGCGGTGCACGTCAGCAGTAGAGTTGGCTTTGCTCGTGGAGGTGAGGATAAGCGCTTCTGGGCTTGCTATGCGTAACCTTTTTGGTCGGGATAAACGTACGTGTGATTTGGTTTGAAAACTTACTAGCATCAAAAGATCAGAGAGCGCGCGAACAACCACGGCCAAAAAAGTAGAGATGGGCGAGGAAACCAACAACTCTGACAATGTGGATCACTGCCAATCTATCCTAGACTACTTTCTTGGATAGAGATGGATTCGTTGTGTCATATTAAGAAAACAAAAAAACAACAAAACTACAAGTATTGTTGTTTCCAAGGGATCACCCGCAATAAATGGTGTTCGGAACTTCGCCCAAATATCCCGGACAATACCGTCACACACTTCATTGTGCACTTACTCACTACTGGTACTAAATGCCATACCGAAACCCAAACACACACGCACCATATTTTCAACCATCCGCTGAGCAACACTTCGCACAATCACACCGGCCGAACAACTTCTGCCCCCGCTGAAGCCTTCCTGTTCTCTCACTCTCCGGCCGACGCTCTCCTGGTGGCACACTGCAAGGCGGGCTCCCCAACTTGTTTCGCGGGTGAGCGTGCGCGCTCTTGTACGAGCCTTGCTGTTTGCGGTGGCCGCAAGTTGTGCAAATCTGCGGCTCCCGCGGGGGCCCCTTGCGTTTCTTCCCCTTTGCTTGGGTTTGTACCTCAATCCCACCTCCACCAACGTCAAAGCCGCCACCACCAATGCCATCCTCATCGTCATCACCAACGTCCACCATCTCTGAATCATCTTCCCTCAAGTCTTCCCCACCCGCAGCACCCCCTCCTGCAACGACCACACTCCGTGGAACAGCAAGGGGGACACTGACACCGACTAAATCACCAAAAGCCGCACCCTCTTCACCTTCCTGTAGGTGCACACGCAGCGCTGAATGCTGATTGCGCAAAGGCAACATCGTAAATTGAGCGTTAGCACGTTCAAGGAACTTTTGGTGGTACGACTGCAGCTGACCTGAGGTTTTACGATACACTGCTTCAAACTCCACAAGACCAGACTCGATCTTGGCACAATGCTGGTTCCATGCTACGGCCCAGGCATCAAAGTTGATGTTTTGGTAGTTCT